GGCTCTGGGCCCGCATGGCATGCAGTAGTGGAGATCAAATTTTGGCTCCTTGTGCTTTCCAGGCAGGCCCTTAGACCACAGACATCTAACCTACTTAATTCTCAAAGGCCCTACTTCCAAGTGCCATCATGGGTTAGGGCTTTGACATGAATTTGGGGGGACAGAAACAGTAAGTAGTATTTTCAACCTACCCCCCACCCATTGACATACCTTTGTTTCACATGCAAAATATATTTACATTCCCAGTAGCCTCCAAAGTCTCATTTGCCTTTTATCAGTTCTCATCTAAAGTCAGTGTTATCTAAATCAAGTATGCTAAAATACAAGGTAAGATTTACCCTGGAGGCAAAATTCCTCTCCAGTTAGGCAACTTGTGGAACGGGATGAATTGGGTGCTTCTGTTGCACGTGAGGGACAGGATGGCTGCTCTGTCGGCAAGCAGCCCACTGGGACTATAACAGTCCCAGTAATAGGCTGCGGATTAGCTCAGTAGCACAGAGCCTGCCTGCCTGGCAAGCGCAAGGTCCTGAGTTCAATTCCTGGTACCGAAAAAGGATAAAGTGTAGTGAAAGAATGAGGAAAAGGAGGGAGAAAGGAGAAGCTAAATAGCTATTCTGATAAGAAAAAAATCAGGGTAGGAGGCTCCAGAAGTGTGCAGGACCTATGGGCCCTTCTGTCTCAGCTGTTTTTAGGGGGAGATGTGTGACTCCTCCACTGCCCCCCGCAATAGGAGTTTGTCATAACTGGAGTGACTTCCGGACACCTCGTCTACCAGCATTTCTTCTGGTCTGTGTGCAGCTTCTTTCTGTCTGCTTGTCCTTGTTCCTTTACAGCCTTATCTTTGGAGTGGACAGCAAGTTGGCAAACTTGATCTTTGTTAGAGTTTGTAAGAGGGCGTGTGGATATGTGTTGTACACTATCATGACCCTCGAGTGAATAATAATAGTGACTCCAGAGTGAACACACATGTACGTGTGTATGTTAGTTCATAGGTGTGAGTGTATACTGTCTCTGACCCTTTGCTTTTCCTACATTTTATTGCAGCTGGTGTGGCTTACTGTTTGTGCACTTGGCTTTCTCTGAGTGTCCTGTCTATCAGCTCCTTTTCTGGTCTCTTGGTATAAGTCCCAAAGCCATTTGGTATCTTTCTTTTTCTGGTTTTTTTTTTGTTGTTGTTGTTTTTTGTTTGTTTGTTTGTTTGTTTGTTTATTTTTTGCAGTACCAGGGATCAAACTCAGGTCTGTCCACTTGCCAGGCAGGTGCTTATGCCACTGAGCTATATCCCTGGCTCCTCTGTTTTGTTTTCTTTTTCTATCCCTGTCTTTGACTTGTTTTCTAGGGGAATTTCTCTAGTAAAGTTTGTTTTTTTTAACTCCTAGTCAGTTTTAGCGAGAAGAGCTAGGAGGCCCCTATTTTATTTTGTTTTCTGCAGACCACTGTACCTACACTTTTAGCATAGCATGGCAGTGAACAGGCACAGAATAGATATTCTCAGCAGTCAGAGGCTGAGGCAGGAAGATCAAGTGTTCTGGCCAGCCTGAGTACATAGTGGGACCCTGTACCCCCACAAAAGAAGATAGATATTCCCATTCCCAAAGGGAGACTCTGATAGGAAATAACTGGTCCCCACCAAACCCCAAGCCTAGCTAATTAAACTTTAATGTTGAGAGGAGGGGCCGGGGGTATAGCTCAGTGGCACAGTACCTGCCTGGCAAACTTGAGGTCCTGAGTTTGACTCCTGGTACAACCCCTGCCAAAACATAGTTGCGAAGAGCCCTCGTCTAGGTCCCTTGCCTTCTAGGGGCTGCATCCACAGCTCTGCGGAGGGGTGGTCCCAGCCTGCAGAACCATGGTGGGGGCTGCACTGCTGCCCCAAGGCCTCCCAACCTGTATGCCTCACTCTGTAGAGAGGGAGTAGCTTCGATGGCTTTGGATTATTGCTTTGAGTCCTTCCTTCTCTTGTCCTGGAGAAGAATGGTCTCGGAAGAGGACAGAGGACCAGGGGAGCCAGGGTCACTGCCGAATGAACGGCTCATGTCGGGTCCCGTGGGATCTGACGCATTCCCTCGTTTCCTTCCTCTGTTCCCATAGCACCAAGCTTGGCAGTGGTTTTTTTGTTGTTGTTGTTTGTTTTTTCCAGAGTGACTGATTAGATACATGGCTTAAATCCATTCTAATGATTTTTTAGACTATACACATGACCACAGTATGGACAGGCTGAGCATCTTTTTATTTCATCTATCTATCTATCTATCTATCTATCTATCTATCTATCTATCTATCTATCTATCTATTTATTGAGACAGGATCTCACTGTGTAGTTCAGGCTGGCCTTGAACTCATTGTGTAGCCCAGGCTGGTCTTGAACTCATAATGATCCTCCTGCCTCAGCCTCTGAGTGCTGGAATCACAGGCTTGCGCCACCACCCCCAGCTATTCTTGCTTAATCCTGATGCTTAGTCTTATTTATTTTCATGTATTTGGTATAGGGCCTCATTATGCAGCTTGGACTCCTAGTGATCCTCCTGTTTTCAGCCTCCCCAGCACTAGGATTATAGGCGTGCACCACCATGCCTGGTCTCGGTGGCTGGCTCAGCAGTGCACCTAGGGTTGGGGCCAGCTCGGCATGTGGTGCTGGGATTGAATCCTGGTCTCTGCACTTGCTTAAGCAGGTGCTTAGACTGCTGAGCTGTCTTGTTGGCCCCTTAATGCTTATTCTTTAAGTAGTATATATTATTATTTGAGTGATTAATTTATGGTAATTTCAATATGTAAAGCCCCTGTGGATGTCTCTTGTCAATTACTGCTGTTCTTTTCTGTTCCTATTGCCTCGCCCTTTAATATTCCTGAAAAGTTTTGGCTGTGTGCCTGCCCCTGTGTTTTTCACATGGCTCGGGGAACTCTGGACCTCAGGATGCTCTCCAGGGAGGGTTGTGTTGCTTCTGCACCTTGGCCTAATTGCACAGACTAGGTTGATGAGAAACTGGTTTTGCCTTCCTTCCTGAGCTATAGCTTTTCAAGTCCCTGCTCAGGTGAATAATGGTCACGTGGACCTCTCGCCTCTACTGTGCTTTGGATCCAGTCCTTATCATCTCAGCCTTCTGAAGTTTCCAGAGTGCTGCTTGGCCTCCTGCCCCCTAGGGGAATTGCTGATGTCCCTTGAGAGCACATGCACGGATCTCTGTGATCTTTGTCCTTAGCCTCCCTGCCTCTGCCCCTGACACCTCCGACCTCAGCTCCCTCCAAAGCCTTCACACTGATTTTTTTTTTTTTTTCTTCCAGTACCAGGGGACATTTCTCACTGAGCTACTTCCCCAGCCCTGAGTTATTTTTATTTTGCTAAATCACATTCTCCAGGTTGGGTTTGAAGTTGGTGATCCTCCTGTCTCAGCTTTTGTGCCACCATGCCTGGCTTTCATGATTTTCTTTTCTTTTTTGGTATAGGAATCAATCCCAGAAACTTGTGCTTGCCACAGTTTCCTTCTTTCTTTCCTTCCTTCCTTCTTCCCTCCCTGTCTCCCTCCCTCCCTCTCTTCCTTCCTTGTTTCTACCAGGAATTGAACTCAGGGTCTCAAGCTTAATAGACAAGCACTGTACCACTGAGCTATATCCCTGGCCCAAGATTTTTGACCTGTAGTATTTTTATCTTTTTTTGTTTGTTTGTTTGTTTGTTTTTTGCAGAGCCAGGGATTGAACTCATGCCCTTGCACTTTCCAGGGAAGCACTTATTCCACTGAGCCATCTCCCCGTTCCCTTACCATTTGTTTTTAATCATCAGTTTGATGTTTGTTAATGTCCTTCACTGAATATAACTCAGTTTTAAAAAAATTTGGTTTTTTGTACATTCAGTTAGTTTCTCAAACTGGCTGTGGTGTTATGTAATCCCAGTGCTGGAGGCTGAGGCAAGAGGATTGCCTTGAGTTTGAGGCCAGTGTGGACTATAAGGATTTTTTTTTTTTTTTTTGCTCCGAATGCCTTCAGGGCAGGTTTGGCTGGCTTGAGTTGTGAGGATCGAGCCACAGCTACCTGAGCCTGACTGCTTTGTTGAAGCAGCCACTTAAAGAACTGAGCTAAGGGTCAGGCCCCCTAGTGTGGACTATATAGTGAATTCAAGGCTAGCCTGAACTGCAAGGTGAGCCCTTGTCTCAAACCCAAAATAACAAAACAAATTCGTTTCTCAAGGAATGAGGTGGTTTTTTGTTCCTGTTTCCCCTACTGCTGCTTTTGCTTTTGTTGCTAGCATTTGAGCAAGGTGGTCTTGCATGCTGCTGTATTTCTAACCCTATCCTGTTGTGGTCAGAGATACTTTGTGCTTTCCACCTTATGAAAGGGAAGGTGGCCTCCACACCTAAGCTGTGTCTTCAGGTCTGCACTGGGGAGTGTCTGAGAAGCTCTCTGGTGTTACCCTCAGAGACCCTGGTGTGTGTGGTGCTCATCCTTGAGGCCATGGGTTGCATATTGCGTGGTGGCTGTGGTACGTATTGTGTGTTCCCTTGGTAGTAGTGTGTTTACGCCTGTGTGCAGGGCGAGTTTTTTGGGGGTGACATGTTGACATGTTCCTCATGAGCTTTTCTCTTTGCAGTGTGCCCACCGCCACGGAGCCTTGGGAGCAGATGGGCTCGGCACTAAGATTTCGATCCAGCTTTGACAGCGACCCCATGTCAGGGTAAATAAACCTATGGGCTGTGTGCAGCAGCCTCAGGTGTGCTCAGGCCAGGCCTGTGTGGTGGGATGGGGCAGAGGCCGGGATGAGGTGCAAAAGAACCATCACCATGTTCTACTTGAGGATCTTAGGAACCTCGCTTCCTTTGGAATGCTGAGCAGTGAGTGTCCTGGGTTGGGGGCAGTAAAGGAGGTGCCTGGGCCCAGCTGGGTCCATAGGGACAGAGGCAAAGAGGTAGGCAGCAGGTGGCCTAGTGATGGGGGTAGAGGCTGGCTGGGCGGACTGCATTGTGCTGGGAAGGTGACTGACAGTGAGGGCCATGTAAGATGGCAGAGAGGGTGGCGCTTGTAAGGGTAATAGGGTGGTGATGGCCCTGGTGGCAGGTGGGTGGTGGTGGCAGCAGGGTGATAATATGGGCATGGGGCAGCAGAGTGCCCTGCTACTCATCCGAGTTTGTGCATCATAGTTCAGGACACCTACCTATGGCTAGGTCTTGCCTGCTGGTACAACGACAGGTGTTGTGGTGCACGTTGGAGTGGGCAGAGGGGGTGGGCAGCCACGCGTGCATGTTTTCTGGGCTGGATCTGTTCCATGGTTACAGGTGCCTGTCCTGTGGGGCAGGAAGCCACTTTCAGGGGAAGCTCACCTGGGCCCGTTTGCCCCTGGGGGCATGGGCTCCAGCTCAGATGGGGCTTGGTGTCTTAGCATGTCAGGTTGTGCCCTGTCTTGCCCCATCCTGCCCTGGCTTGTCCTGTGGCTGCAGTGGAATCTGGGAAGGGCAACTGTGAGTGCTGCTGCGCCCCACTCACACACTCCACACACACCCTGGACCTGGCTGGCTGAAGACTGAGGCCTCTACATTCCTCCTCTACATCAGAGGACACAGGAGTCAGGGGCTGCAAGGGAGGCCCAGCTGGGTCAGGGCCTGAGGTGGACATGGTCTGGTGCTTTCCACAGCTGAAAGCAGGGTGATGTAGCTGGGGTGCCGAGGGAAGCCAAGAGGCCCAGGCCATTCCAGGCTCTGTGAGTCTATCAAGTTTAATTTAAATTGTTAAAGAATGAAATTTGCTTTATTGTAAATTTTACTGTCTAGTTAGACAAACCCCAGGTTTTTTCTTCTTTAATTGGCACCTATAGTATACAGAAAAACACAGGTACACAGTTCGGTATATAATTATAAAGCAGACTCCCATGTGGTTACCAGAGCCAGGGGAACCTTCGCACATAGGCATTGGAGCAGGGGATGACTCAATCAAGACCTAGCACAGTGGTGCTGGAGGAGGCAGCTCCATCTTGGGGAGGCCAGGTAGGGCCTTGGGGAGCTGGCAGGTGGGAGAAGAGGAAGAGGGAACAGCCTAGACATCACTTCTTTGTCAGCTGGGCCCCAGGGCAGTTCATGGAGCCTGGTGGAGGAAGGTGGTGGGACTTGGTGAGCTGGAGGTGAGCCGGAGTGTGACTCAGGCACACTGAGGAGACTCCAGGGAGCTGCTCTGGCTCGCGGAGTGCAGTCGGAGGCCAGGCAAGCCAGGAGGCAGCCAGGCCCTGCTCCCCCTCCCCCACTGTCTTCCGGCCGCTGGCTCTGCTGCTCCCCTGGGCCCGGGCCAGGCTGTGTCTTTAAGAGGGTGGCTGCAGGCCTGCGTGCCTCGCCTTCCTGCCGCTGACGTCAGGGAGGGGAAGGACTGAGAAGGAGATTCGATTTCTATTCCCCGAAAGGGAGGAGATTGAGACCGAATGTCCCCTTGGAAAGAGGAGGTCCAGGCCTGCAGGAGGCCCCTGAGTGAAGGCAGAGGCTAACATGGGGTGAGCTCGGATGCCATTCCGTACAGCGATAGAGACAAGGAGCTGCTGCCGAGCTGTGTCGGCTTTGTGAAGGGGCGCGTGTGTGCTCCTGTTTGGGCAGACACCTGTGTCTCTCGGGGGGGCCACTTGGTGGCGATGGCTCCTTTCTGGGAGTTAAGATGGGTGACTTTGAGCCTCAAATATGAAGGCTTACAGGTCTGTCCCTTAGCTGAGGGCTGGGCCCTGCTGAAGTCCACTGTCCTCTGAGCAGGGAGCTAGAAACTTCAGGGTGGGTTGCGGTGGGACCTATAGCTGTTAAAGCTCCTCTAGTTACCATGGATTTGTCTTTTATTAGAATACAGTGGGGCTCCAGGAACAAGAGGATAGGAATGTCTGCTTTTGGCAAGGGCAGGCCCCTCGGAGGCTTCCACCTCCGGAAGTATGCTTCCTCTGCCTGGCCCTCTGTACCCCAATCTGCTCTTAACCTTGTGACCTGGGAGGTGACCATGCTGGTGGGTGGGGGTGGAGGTGGAAAGACAGCCTCCAGCAGCCTCCTCTGCTCCTCTGGCTTGCTCTACAGGGCTTCCCTCCCTTTTCATTCTCGTGCTTTCTCAGTCTGTCCCCCAGATCTGTCGGTCACACTGGCCTGGGCTCCCATGCACTGTGGTGTTTTAACTTAGATACCACAGTGCCTGGCTTGTCACATGTTTGCCACCCATGTGCATGGCTGGTGGGGGTTGGCACCCCCCATGCAGAATGGCTTTGTGCACTCCCAAATGGCCCTATTTGATATGTGAGGAAACAGAGGTCAAAACAGGTTCGTGTTATATAACCAGGATGTTGTTGTGTAGCCCAGAATCCCTTTGGGCAAGTAGGCTGCTCCCCAGGGAGTGGTGAGGTATGGACTTGGGGAGGGGTGGGTCATGACCAGCTCTTTGGCAGGTTTGGAGCAACTGTAGCCATCGGCCTGACCATCTTTGTGCTCTCTGTTGTCACCATCATCATTTGCTTCACTTGTTCCTGCTGCTGTTTGTACAAGATGTGCCGCCGGCCACGTCGTAAGCACACCCCCACCCCACTCCCCTTGTGCACAGGTCAGACCCCTGGGTGGGCAAGCAGAGTTGGCCAGGTACCTGTTTGGCTAAGCCAGAGGGCCAGAAGGCAGGCTTGGCCTCAAGACCTGGGAGGCTGGCACATCTTGACTGGGATTCTCTTTGCAGCCATCGTGACCACCACTACGGCTACCACTGTGGTGCATGCCCCTTACCCTCAGCCTCCAAGTGCGCCCCCTAGCTACCCTGGACCAACGTACCAGGGCTACCACCCCATGCCCCCCCAGCCAGGAATGCCAGCAGCACCCTACCCAACGCAGTACCCACCACCATACCCGGCCCAGCCCATGGGGCCTCCAGCTTACCATGAGACCTTGACTGGTGAGTACCATGTGGACTGTGGCCCTGCCTGGCCCCCCTCTCCCTCTTCTGCCTCACAGGGTTCCTTGCCAGGCACATTTCTGTTGCAGCCCACCATGTCCACAGCTAACCAGTGTTCTCTCTACTTTCAGGAAGCACAGCAGTACCCTACCCTGCCAGCCAGCCTCCCTACAATCCAGCCTATGTGGATCCCCCGAAGGCAGCCCCTTGAGTGCATCCCACCTCTGGTTGCCACTTGATTGTGTGTGTGTGTGTGTGTGTGTGTGTGTGTGTGGTATGCAGGCATTTTTTACTACCCTATGTACACTGCATGTGACATGTGGCTTCCTTTGATGTTAACAAGGTGGACTGAGACCAAACTTGGTTTTCTTCATTTGAAATTATGCTTCCTGAAGTCTCAAAGCAAATGTGAAGAGTGGAGTGGACAGTCTTTTCCAGGTCACTGCAGGGTGATAAAGTATAGCCTGGCACCCTAGGATAGCACAGCATTTTTTGGATGTCACACACATGTCCTTGTGGGAATAGCCAGCCAGGGCTTGAGGCTATGGCTTGTCCCCAGGGGCTGGGGTGCTTGTTGCTGAGGCAGGCATCTGGGCCAAGGATGGGCTCCTGCTGGGGCCCTGTCCTTCCTGCAGATGTCTGGTTGTTCCCTAGCCTTTGCCATGCTCAGTGTGTGGTTTGTGAGCTGTGAGGTGGGAACACTCAGGCAGGGCCCTGCCTACCTGACAGCTCCCTGTCCCAGCAGCTTCCCTGGGACTGACTGGCTGGCCACTGCACTGGAGTCTAGAGGCCCAGGAGGAGGCTCTCCTGCCCTTGCTGACCTGGTCCCTGCCACAGGTGGGCTGTGGGGTCTCTGCCCACCAGCACACTCAGGTCTCCCTGCAGTGTTTCAATGTTACTTTCAGCCAAAAATTTTGCCTATTTGTTTTAAAGTATCATAGTTAATGTGAGGCTTTCAAATGTGGGGAGAATGGACCATAAAGGAGGGGACAACCTGACCTCTGATAGTCCCTGCTCACCCTGACAGCAGCCTAATAGAATATTCAACTCCAGGACCCAGGTCACAGTTTGTCCTGGCAGCCAGGACACCAGGGCCAAAGCAATGTCTGGACCAAAGGGGGGTGGTGGGCAAGGGGTGGGGGGCCTGGGTGGCAGCTCTGGCCCTAACTTGAATACCTCGGAGTTCCTTGTCACTATTAATGTTTTACCAGCTGTCTTAGCTTTGTATCTGTTGTGTTTCTAAGAGTCTGGGCTCTGCACCCTTGTTTATAATAAATGCAAATATTTGGAGTTGCTGTTCTCTTTCTTCAGAGCTTTGGACCTTAGACAGAGTAATGTTTCTACCCATCATTTGCTTTTTGTCTGTTTTCTTTGAGATAGGGATTGTAGTTCAGGCTGCCCTCACTGGTAGCCCAGATTGGCCTTAAACTCATGGTGATCCTCCTGCCTCAGCCTCCTGAGTGCTGGGATTATAGGCATATGGCACCAGGCCCAGTTCCACCCACTATTTGTATTTCTGTGTTTTGCCTGCTTTTATTGGAGCTCAGAGGGAAAAAGACTATGCCTGTCGCCTATCCCATGGTCCCAGGCTGCAAAGTGCCAAAGAGGGTGTGGGGCAGTTACCACTTAGTGCTGAGGGGATCTCTGTCAAGTTTTCTTCTCAGTCTACTGCCCAGGTGTGGTCAGGAATAGTCCATAAAGTGTAGCAATTGCCAAGGTCAGGACAGCCAGCAGCCCCAGTGGGGCCACCAGCCCTTCCAGAGATGGGGTCCCAGGGACCTTTGTTGAAGGAAGAGACTTGGGTCTTTTCCTTTCTAGGCTAGGACTAGTGTTCCTGGTCGGGGCCAGGGTTGCTATGGTTTGGATAGCTGGTGGCCTCAGGTTGGTCACAGAGGAAGCAGTGACTCCATACATGGGCTTCATGGTGCTGAAGGGCCTGGCATGAGCATCAACCCACTGCAGCAGGGCCTGTGGTCTCCACTGGCAGATGCTGAGCAGGGTGAGGACGTCCCCCTCAGCCATGTGCGAGTCTGTGGGGGCCTGCCCATACAGGCGAGTGTAGATGCTGCCCAGGCTGTAGCTCCTCCTTGGGCCACACTCCGAGGTGCTGCTGCTTTGCTCCAGCGCCTTCAGGGCGGCAATGCTGTCCACACAGAAGGCACCATCCAGAACACCCGCAAGTCCCAGCATAGCCAGCTCTGTCCGGAGCAAGGGGAAGTCATAGCGGTCACCGTTGTGTGCAATGAGACACCAGGGCTGTGGCAGACGCTGGAGGAAGGCTAGGAGCAGGTTGGCTAGGTTGTTGTCAAAACGCTGCCGCCCATGTGCTACGAGCTCAGCTGTGCTCAGACCGGTGATCTTGCTGGCTGCAGGGCTACAGGCTTTCCCCGGAGCCACGCACACGGAGAGCTTGTCTATCACACGGGGTGGGGGAGGCACCGCAGGTGGTCGCCCCTGGCAGGGGGAGCTGCTCTCCAAGGCACATCTATGGACAGCCAGTAGGCACAGCTCCGTGACCTTGGGCTGGGAGAAGGGCAGGCCAGTGGCTTCCAGGTCCAAGAAGATGAGGGTCTGCATGGGACCAGGGGGCAGGGCTTGTGAGGCCATGTTGGGGTAGGAACCTGCCGCTGAGCCTGGGGAGGAGCATGGGTTAGGTAGGGGTGGTTCACTTGCAAGTGGGAAAAACTCCGGTGGGCAGAAACGGCATGGGGAACGAGGGCAACACCAGGAAAGTGGCCAGAAGCACCTCCCAGGCCTCTGCACAGTGCGGCACTGTCCAGGAGCTCCGGGGCTTTCAAGCCAGGAAGCTGGAGCGGATGGGGTGGTTTCCTTAGTGGGCCAAACAGTGTGGAGGAGGAGTCTCTCTTCCTAACATGGGTCTGGCCCCCCTAGTCCCTACCTGGGAGGAAACCCACAGCTTTCCTCCCCTGCCCTACAAGTGTTCCTACTTACAGAGCAGGCGGGCAGGCAGCTGGGCAGGCGGACGGGTGGACTGGCGAGCAGGCAGGCAGGCAGGCAGGACAGCAGGCTGACCGGCAGGCAGCCACTGTGCTCCTTCTGCTGCCACCACCAATACCGGAAGCGAAACTAGGTCTGGGCCCGCCCACTGGCCTGCCTCCTGAGCAAAGCCTTCCCGCTTGCTCTGCCACAGCAGGCCTGCTCTGTCCCTGTTGCCTAACACCTCTCCCTCCCAGGCAGCCCAAGGCATCTGTGAGAGCCTCATAGGACTAGTGCCTGGGTTGTCTTGGGGTAGCTCCAGATTTGGAGTACTTCTCCGAGCCCAGCTGTACTTTTGTGGTAGTCCTAGGTCCATTTGCCCAGGCCTTCTAGCTTCTAGTATGGGCTGAGGACCACCTCTCTCTCTCACACAATCGTTTCTTCCTATGGCCCCAGCCCAAAGCCATGACTCAAAATACCACAGGCAGGGCAGGGTTTCCTTGAAGGCAGATTAATTACCATGGGAACCAGCAAGGGAGGAGGGGGGAGTGCAGAGGGGCAGGGAGGGCCACAGCCTCCAGGGCTCCCCCTCCAGGTCCCTCCTTCCCAAGACAAGCAGGTGAGACCTGGAAACAAAGTTGGCAATTCCAACAGGCTTGGCTAGTCATTGCTTTTATTATTTTGTTTTGAGATGGTCTTGCTTTATTTATATTTATAGTTCAGGCTGGCCTTGAACTCACTATGTAGCCCAGGCTGGCCTTGAGCTATCTTCCAGCAATCTACAGGTCTGGACCTCCTGAGTGCAGGAATTACAGGCATGTACAGACGTGAGCCACAGTGCTCAGTCATTTTTAATCTGTGGATAGGTGAGGAAGGTAAAGGTGCCACCATGTGACTGGGTGTGCAGGGCCTCAGCTACAGTCCATCTCAGCATCGTCCACGTCGGTCTCCAGGCCACAGAGGTCATCCAGGGCTGCCTCTGGCCAGAAGAAGAGGGTTCTGTGTGATAGCCGGAAAGCACAGGGCCTAGGCAGGTCCTACCTCTCCCCCTAGCACATGTATTAATCAACCAGTCCCCGCTTTGTCCTGTTCTTGCTTCCTCAGCTGCTACAGGCAGTGACATAAAGGCCATTTGGATCTGAGTATTTCTGGAAAAACCCTAGTTCGGCCAGGCCTACTAAACAGATACAACACAAAGGGAAGCCCAGTCTACTGAGACAAAAACCAGAGGGGAAAAGACAGTCCCCAGTAGCAGAAAAGCTGTGGTGGCAGGAGGCCTGCTCAGCAGCTCTGGGGACAGCGGGGGAGGGGGGTGTGTGGGGGTGGGTGGGTAGGGTGGTGGTGGCCTCCAGGGGGCTCACCTTCACAGTCTGTCACATCTGGGAGCCCTCGAATCAGTGTGCTGACACCAGGCATCACCTGGTCATACTGATGCAGAACCTCCACGCAGTGTACAGTAAAGAGCTTGTCCTTCTGGGACAGGCTGTGCAATAGCACCACCGTGTCACGCAGACAGCGCACGGTCCGCTTCTGCTGCTCAGTCCTTGGGGGTCCCCCTGCCCTCCGTACAGTCAGCCACTGTCGGTGCAGCATCACCGTGAGCGCTCTGACCACCTACAGTGGGCACAGACCAAGGCCTTGTTTCCTGTGCCCTCAGGGTCCAGAGGAGCAGGGTGTTGGCGGGACAAGGTGTCCTTGCACGGGGCCCCTACCCACTCACCTCCACGTTGCACTGGCAGTCAGAACCAGTGACTGGGGAGGAAGGGCTCTGCACACCCAACTTGGCCAGCAGCCACACTGCCTGGAATGAGGACAGATTCTGCTCATCACAAGGGCTTTCTCAGAGGTCTCCTACAGGTGCTCCAACTGCTTCAGCAACAGCTCCGGGGTCAGAAGACACTGGTCATCAGGAATTCTGCCGAGTCCTATGACAATCTAAGACTCACCTTCACTGCCTCTGTGTATAAGCCTCCAAAATTTAGCTGTGGCTGCTTGATAAACTTTTTCTGTATTGCAGATTGAACCCATGGCCTTCACACTGAGCTATATCCCCAGTTCTTTTACTTTTAGACAGTCTCATTAAATCGGTAAATTGCCTAAGTTGTAATTCTCCTGTCTCAGCCTCCCACAGTGCTGTGTTTACAGGTATACTCCACTACACCTGGTTTTGATAAATTGTTACAAAAAATAAATTACAACAGTAGCTTTGGGGGCTAGTGAGATGGCTCAGTGGTCTAAAGCACCTACTTAGAACAAGCTTAGCAAAGCACAGGGACCACGGTTCAATCCCCCAGCACCACATGCCAGCCTGCTCCGCCCCCTGGTGGGCTGAGCAGGCCTCCCCACACATAAATAAATAAAATTAAAAAAAAAAAAAAAAAACCAGTAGCTTTGGTCGTACAGACCTATAATTGCAGTACTAAGTAGACAGAGGTAGAAAGATCACTTTAAATTCAGAGCCAGTCTGGGTTACACTGTAAGAGCCTATCTCAAAAGATTAAAAAAAAAAAAAAAAAATTAAAACAAAGACAGCCTTTCTTGTAACTGTGGGCTTTCAGGATGGGGTGGGTAGTGTCTCCAGACCAGTCTCACATATTTACCTCCTGTTCCAGCTGAAGCCACTGTGTCTCTGAGGCCCCCGAGTCAGGCCTTGAAGTGATGTACATGTACAGCAGCAGCAGGAGGCAGCCTTCTGAAATGGACAACCCTCACTCACTCAGGGTCCCCTTCCTGTGCAGAGCCTGTGCTCAGAGCTCCAGAGCCCCTCAGGAATTTAACCCAGTTGCCCTACCCTGCCCCTCAACACAGGCAGATGCCCACCATCCCCTTCTTTACCAGGGTGGGAACAGAGCTGCGGTGCCAGGCTCTCATGGTCCACCAGGAGAGACAGCAGCTCAACAGTCAGCAGCACACAAGGCAAGACCATCTCAGGGCTGAGGCACTGTGGCAGCACTGGTAATACACACCGGAACCTGGAAGATGTGCCAGAGACATGACAGCCTCCAAGAGACTGGGTTGGTAAGCCTTGGGGTCAGATGCTACCCGCCTCCTTGTTATGAAGCTTCTTGTGAATGAGTGGGTACCAAACTTCACTGCAGGGCTGCCGTGCTCTGTCTGTATCACCCAGTAAGCTGGCACTCCCTGGGTCTGGGAGCCTGGTCCTCACACTCCTGGTTCTTTCCTGCCTGTGCTCCCAGGAAAGGGGCAGATTATAACTCTGGTGTGAGAGAAATGTCCTTTGCTTACACTGTGATAGGCCAGGGCTCTACAAGTTGCACATGGACTTCTGTGGCTGAATCTCATGGGACCACTCACAGATCAGGGAAGACCATTCTTGTCAGTAAACACTGGGCTCAGCTGCCAGCGGGAAGGGGGCCCACTGTGAGGTGTGCATGGGGGAAGGGCTCTAGAATATTCTCCCCCAGGTCTTGAGCAAGGGGGTGATGGCTCTGACCCACGAGCCAAGCAAACTGGATTCTCTCAATCCATATAGCCTTCAGAAGCATGAGGGTGAAAAGGGGTACCTACACTCTAGCCAGCTGGCTATGCCCCTTTACCACTGGTGTCTCATAAGAGCATGGTGATTAAAGAGAGGCCCTCAGTAAGTGACTATGAATCAGGAAGCAGGGCTCACTAGTGGGGTTGGATTCACTCTACAGCACATCTGCAGGCAAGCAAGAAGCTACACATTCTTTGAGAGGGATGGTAGAACTCTGAGAAACAAATTTACCCCTCCCCCCATTTTAGGAATTAAACCCTATCTAGAGATTGAACCTAGTTCCTGTAAGGAAAAAAAAAAAAAAAAAAAAAATCCTTTTTAAAACGTTTTTTTCTAGAAAGGACGAAATAGCTCAGTAGAATAAGTGTTTCC